TTGTAATGTTGTTGAGCCCTTTGTATTTTTTTCAACTCTTCTTTCTTCTTTTAGCTCCTCTCATATGGTTGAGAAAAAGTTCCTTACTTGCAATTACCGTAAGACCATGAAAGTGAGGGTCTAAAAATGAAAGCCGTAACTTTTCTTTTGGTAACTACTATTTTCTTTTCTGAAGAGAGAGAAATGTTTCCTTATAATTGTATTTACAATTATACCTTCAATAACTCTATATTTTATATTTAATAACCATCACATTAAATCATTAATTAGAGTCATGTTATAAGTTAAATAAGCCACTATAATAAGATTATTAAAAAAATCTAACACTCTTAATCAATAATTAAAATTTATTAAAAAAAATGTATAAATTGGAACATATTTGTTTATATTTTAAAAAAATTAAATAAAAATATATTTATTTTTTTATTTAAAAAAATCTTTATAAAAATGCGATCATACATGTTCTTACTCTCCATATAATAATTTTTCTTAATTTAATTATTAATAAAATTAGTATTTTTATTTTAAAATAAATTTAATTTCATTCTTGAACTTTATTTTAATTTATTATTTTGATTCTCTAACTTTTCAAAATATTTTAAATAAATTATTTTTTATTATCAATGTTAACTTTACTAATATGTTTATGCTATATGTCGTTTATTATTTCTTTCTCAAATTTAGACATTGTTTACCATTTTTTTTCTTAAAATTTCTAATTTTACTTTCTTCCCTGAGTCTGTGCACAATGAGAAAAAATTTAGACAATTAAAAAAATTTTACAACTAATTGTTATTGAGATTTTAAAAAAAAGTAAAAATTAAAATTAAAAATATTTTTAATTTAGATTTATTTATTTGTGAGTTTAGTTGGAAGAAAATTTGAGATGTTTTAAGAAATTAGTAAATGAGATTTTTAAAATTTTGTTTTGTTTGTTTGAGATAAAGGATAAGATTTTATTGTTTAAAGTTTGACTTTGGTGATTAGTAAAGGAGATATAAAACTGAGATATTTTACTTCTTTATTTTTATGTATAAGAGAAAGTGAACATCCTTCTTAAAAATGTTTTGACTATACAAATTTAATATAAGCAAGAAGCCATGTGCTTGTTGTATCAAGTAGAAAGTTTGAGAAAAAAGAAATAATAAATAGTGCATAAACTTTAAGAAGAAGTTGATGAATATTGTAAAATAGTACATATAGTAAAAAACAAATTACTAAAGTTAACTAGTTAATAGAAAATAACTTATTTAAATTTTTTTGAAAATTTAGAAGATTAAAATAAATAAAAATAAAATTAAAAGATGAAATCAAAATTGACTTTTAAATTATAGAATAAAAATACTAATTTTATCTTAATTATTCTTTCTCACACTTTTATAACTTTTTAAAAATTTTAACTAATAATTATCAATGTGTTAAAAAGTATATTTCTCACGCTTCAAAAAAAATTTGAAGTCACAAATCAATAGCTTCTTTACTTGAAAATTTTCAAAACATCCGCAGCACAGCACATTGTTAATTATTTGTCAAAAATTAGAGCTTTAATAACAATCAGGACGTGATCTGGTCCATTTGAAATGACCTATTGAAGGTCGATATATTTTCGAGTATAGCCAATTTAATTATAGGTTAAAATTTTATTAGTCTAATGTAGTCTTTAAAAGTTATAAGTCAAATAAGTTGACTCATGACCCACTTAAAAAGAACAATTTTAAGCCTTGAATTATAATTTATTAAAAAATTCTCTTAATTTTCAAAATTAAGTTCAAGTTTGTAATCCAAATTTTGTTAAGTACTACCTCAAAATAGAAGGTCTAGTAAAAATAAACAAGGTCAACAAGAGATGAAGAAAAAAAAAACAATAATAAATTAAACCATTATAAACAAAATGTCCTAAAATCATTGGACGCCAGCCTGCACTGTGTTTTTGGTCTTGGATACAAACACGAGAAAACGCTGAGGGCCAACACCTGGAGAGTGGACTGGGTTAGCTAAAATTTGAATCCAACTGGATTGGGTCAAAATTAAAGCAAACAAAATTATTTTAAAATTAATTCAAATTTCACAGAAGACTAAATGGGCCATATCCGTTTTTAAAGCCCTACAAGAGATTCTGACCAAAAACAGAAAAAGAACTCACGAAAGAAGTGTGGGCATCTCTAGCCAATATATTATTTTTGTTGTGGGATTTGAGTATTTAACATTACATAAGTCTCGGAAAAAAGAAGGAAAATACATACTTAGGTTATTCTGTTTTTAAGAATAATGATTCAAAATTATAGTAACAATGGTAGATTGTCACACTAAAAATTAATGAAATTATTGACGTAGACTATGTGAGAATGAACAAGTCAAGAGTAGAGAACCCAACGATGAAAAAGATTTAGTACGGAGTTTATAAGCTATTTGGGAAAAATAAGAGTAACTGAAATTTGCTATGGAAGGTAGTTTTTGTTAAATGAAAATGATCAACTTTGTCCTGTGACCTATACTAAATCATGTAATTGTTGTCGTGTTTGTTTAAAGCTAAGACTTCTCAGGTTTTCGAGGTTGGTTTTTCTGTATTAATCTAATATTTTATAAATGTCACTTGTATATTTTATCAATAAGCAAAATTTTAAAGTTTATGATCCAAAATTTTTAACTTATTTTTAATTTTTTAATTTTATTATTTTTCTTAATAAATAATTATTTTAAATACAAAAATATATATTACACTTATTATGATAGATTTTTTCCAACAAACAAATATATTTAAGAGTAATCTAGAATTGAATTTTATATCATCTTAAAATGTTATTATTAGTATTTTTTTTAAATCATAAGTTGCACGAAAATAGAAAATTTTGTTCACAATTTTAGTTTTGCATTAGACCATTTTAATCTTGATTAAGGACATGATTTGTCTCTCAGCCCATGGAATCTTGCAGTGCCTTGAAAACGTCAACGATTCGTCTTATTTATACTGTCAATGTTGATAACCATTTTTGGTAATTTCTAATATTAAATTTATTACTGTAATCATTCATTGTGTCAACAAATTGATCATTTAGTTATTACTTTCATCCATTTGTTATCTTAAAAATTATAAAGCAATATTTATAAAGGAATTAGTAGGTAATGGGTCTCTACTGGCATTTGGAAATGATGTTCTTAATGTGTTTAATTGAGTCCTTTGCATCACACCATTTAAACTTATTTTAGGTGGAATGATTTGATTTTTAGGAGACACTATTATTAGAGTAGAATTAGGTATTAGTTCATAAAATTGGTGGGACAAAACTTAGAGGCAAATCCTAAGAAAGATCTTGTGCATGTCTCTAATTAGACCCAACATCAGGATTAGGCAAAGTAGTCATCAATTGGCCAATTACCAGTGACGAAAGATTTGATACCGTCTCTCTTGGCATTATATTAATGGCAACAATGTTTATATTGCTATTGTTATTTTTTGGACTTGAATTATGACCTTCCTTTGAGTTCCTTGAATTTTCAATATTATTATTTATATTTATGTTGTTATTAGCCATGAACACATGACGTTCACTTTGAACATATTTTAAAATGACACATTAAACTCAAAATTGTCGTATTGGGTGTGTCAATTTATTTATAGTGACTATTTTTAATAAACAAATAAATTCAAGAATAATGTGAGATTAAATTTTAGATCTTTCTAATGAGTTTTTATTAGTGTGTTTTTTTTAATAAAATTAACGAAAATGAATAAATAACATTTGAAAGAGAAAAAAAATAATAGTTGTATAAAAAAATATTAGATCAAATAAAGAAATACTAAGAAATTATTACAATAAAATAAATTTCAATAACAAAAGTAAAACTTCAATTAAGACAATGTATTTGTTAATCCTTTTTTTATCAAAATTTAATTTGTAATTAGAATGTTTAAGTGTCTAACATATGTAAAGAATCTCTTATCCTACCACTTAAATACTTATTTATAGAAAAAAAAAATACTAAAATAATTGTCTAAGGACACATATTTAACCCTTATTATTTATTTTATATTTTTTTTATCACGTGTTTCAATATACAACTACTATAACTACTTTTAACGTATCATGTTTGATTAATATTTATATATTGAGTGCATTCTTTTTAAAAACAAAATTTATCTTCTTTGAAGCATTTGTAATTAGGTACTTCACCATCATAAATAACTTAAACCAATTATTTGACAAAAAATAAAAATAAAAATCTTTGACCAACTTTTGACCACAATAGTTGATAATAGGAATGCATTTTGAAAAAATTTCAAAAAAACTTCTTTACAAACTTGATAATTTATTTTAAATATCTTGCAACTTTTGTCTTCTGAGCTATCCACATCAATTTGTATGATTATCTTCATTTTTACTTAAAATTTTATGTTTCCTTGTCAAAATATTAATCTTTTTTATTTAAAAATTTATATTTCCTTGATCATAATTTTTACAAGAAACTTATCATTATGTTACTTTCGGTTAAAATCTTACTATGACATGTTATACAAAATCATGTAAAAATATGTACTTAACTATAAATCAAAACCACAAATCTATTAATTTAGTTTATGTCTTTTGAAGAAGAAATAATAAACTCTGACATTTAATAGGTTATTTTTTAATAAAAATATTAACCCAAATAAACTTTAATGACCTTATTTTAAACAAAATAAAGAATTTATAACTTTAAAATTTTTTATTTTTTCTAAACACAGTTATATATATATAATAAAATTTTAACCTTTAACGGTAATTTTTCATACAATTTTAACAACATAAATATAAAATTTATTCTATGTAACGTTATCATAATAATTAATCATTGAAATAATGTAATTATTTAAAATATTACTAATTGAAACAAGCACTAAAAGTATTTATTAATGAGGATTGAGGATGGTATGCATCTTTAAAACAGAGTTAAAGGAGAAGGGTAGTTTGGTAATTTGGAAGAGGTATTGGAGCAGGAGGATAGAGTGTAGAGTACAAGAGAGGAGAGGGGTGTTTAGAATACAATCTGTCTCTATTCTCTGTTCTCTAGAATCTCTACTCTATCCTGTGGGTGTGGACATGGCTCTCTCTTTCGGCCTCGTCTCTTCCATTCTCGCAGCAGAAACGGCCTCCACTCACACGCTGGCTTTCAGGCCACAAGCGCCTCCTTCAAGGTTGCGCATGGTGCGAGCTGTCACCTCTGCCACCGTCTCTCAGTCTCAACCATCCACCACCAAAATCAGGGGAATCATGAAACCCCGCAAAGTCTCCCCGGAGATGCAAGCCCTCGTCGGCGTTCCTGAGATTTCCCGAACCCAAGCACTCAAACTCATTTGGGCATACATTAAGGACAACAATCTTCAGGTTCAAAGTTGCCGCCTTTTTTAACCCTTCTCTTTTTTCCTCCCCTCCGCTAAAACCCTAGTCTCAGTGTCACGCCAAATACCCAATAATGTTTTGTTTTGTTTTCCTCTTTCCAAAACCTTATCTCTTTCTCTGTTTAGCGCAATGCTTTTCTATTTTTACTTTTACTACATTATGGACTTGTGATTTTTTTCTTCTGATTTTGTTTTTTCAGTTGACTTTCGTTGTATATGTCTGCTCTGTTTTCCTTCGTTCATTTATGTTTTCTTTATTATTAACGAAAATATAATGTTTTATTAGGGTTGCTGTCTTTCATTTTCTCTGTTTCTTGTATTTTGAACATGGCTTTGTTTCTGGTGTTCCTGAATTTCTTAATCTCTGTTCCTTAATTAGGAAGTTGCATGGGCCATTGTTGTTCCTAGCCTATCTATCATTTGTGTAACTAATGCCATTTTCCATGCAGTTCCTATCTGCCATTGGCATATCTTCTATCTAGGATCTTATGTCGTAAGTTGGCTTCTTGCAATAGAATGCTTTATGTGTGTTTTGGCGTGCATTATTTTTTCTTATTGAGGAAATATAGCTTAAGTTTGCTAATCATGGTCAATTGATAATTGTATATTGCTCCTTTGCTTGTATATTATTCTTTTTCAAAAAGGAGATTTTAAGATGTGAAGAGGAGCGGAGTATGAGTATTGATACTCACTCTGGATTGAAGTTTCCTAAATCCTATAGAAGCAATATGCCACTGGGCTACAAGCAAAGACCATTGACAGCATTTTATTTGTTATAATACGAACCTACATGCCGGTGCAAATTAGATGCGTCTCTCTGACCTTTTACAAAAAAATTTGGAAACATGCTTTTGAAGTTATCTCCCATCATTATGTTTAACCTTATTTATACTTATTATAGAAAGACACATTAATAGTTAATCCGTCTTGTTCTTGACACGAGATATTAACTTATCAGCTATTCCATTTATAGTAGCTCGGTCTATACTATTCTGAATTTGGTGAATATGCAATTCTGTTAAGCTGATTTATCACGGTAGATGTGGAGGAATTCTATTCCTGCTAATTATTTGCTATTTTTGACTTGAAAACATTTGCTAGCTAGTACGAATGCTGTGTGAATCACTTAAATATTTCCCTATCATCCATAAATTTGGATGTTTTATTGGGTGAATTTTTGCCGTGTTATTTTGATATAATTGATTAATCTGTCGATATCTTGCTTTTACAAATAGATTCTTCAGCAACTTATGTAACCTTGGATTGGTTTTAACTGAATTGTTGCTTCTAATTCTGACAGGACCCTGAAAACAAGAGGGTTATAAAATGTGATGAGACGCTGAAGAAGGTGTTTGCAGGGAGAGATCAAGTTGGTATGCTTGAGATTGCTGGTTTGATTAGTCCTCACTTCCTTAAATGATAGCTAGTGCTACTAGGTCCGAAGTTTACAAGTGAAAATTGAGATTTTGTATGAAGGTCCTGCTTTGCTGTGTTGGACAATTATATTTTGGAATATTATGTCATAGCCTTTAGTTTTTTTTAGTACTTTGAAATTTGAATACGGAACGAGCATTGTTGAAGAGTTCGTTTTGAGTGATGTAGTCTCTTCAACAAGCGTTAGTATCTAGTAGATTTTTATTGGACATCTTAAATATTATGGTACTATGTTCTCCTTATAATTATTTTGTTGTCCCTGTGTGAATCCACCCCCACCCTGCGACATCCTCTGTAGAACTTTTTACAGTTTGTCGTGATTCCATAGCAGAGGATGGTTTGGAGATTTTTCAGATGATTATATTATTAAAAGCTGAGGTGGGCTTGGCAGAAGGCCACGCGGAGGGGAGGAGGAAGGGAATGGAAAGGGGGCCAGTGTGAATTGCAAGGTTTAAACTCGTGCACTTTAGTTGTGCTAATCAAAATAAATATCATACTCGAGGATCAAACCTATCATATAAAATCTCTTTTTGAGAATTTGATTATTGCATCCAATGGCCTTGTGTGATTCATGAAGATAACTTTATCCAGTGGAACAAGGTCAATTATGCAGTTTAAGAGTTAGACATTGGTAAATAGATTCTGTATTATTCATTCAATTCCTCCACTTTATACTCTGATGTTCGTATGATAAAGTAGAAACGCGTTATTTGGTTAAAAGTATTTTTTTTTTCCGGATGAAAGTTTTTATTGCGAGAATGATGATTTAAAAATACAAACTTGGAACGTTGAATGAGATGAGGATGTATGGGGTGGGCCTGTATTAGTAGTAAATTGGATGAAGAGTGAAAGGCTTGTGTAGTCTATGGTCTTCTTATGATAAAAAATATATAGTTCTGCGGTGTAAAGTATGGTATTTCTTTTTAGTCATCAATTAATTCACTTATTAAGCTAAACATCTGGGTTCTGCAGTAATGTTTCTTGGGCTGGTCGGTGTTGAGGCCTCCTTTATATTTCAAGCCTTATTTTTTTTTGTTTTTGAAAAAGTGATCGTAAACACGTGGCAAACTTTATAACTATTAAATTTAAATAGAACGGTACAAATTTACGAAAAATGAATAACCTATTACTCAGAAGTAGCATTGCAGGAGTGACTCGGTGGAGAATAACGTCTTCAACTTGTAGAAAGAAAAATCTAAATGAATAACGTCTTCCATTCATGCGGTTGGGCTGTTACAAATATCTGTCTTCACTCCTGTGAAGTCTGTGGCTGCCTCTCACTCTCTCACACTCGCACAAAGAGAAGAGAAGATGGAGATAGTGGAAAAGGTGGCTCTTCCTCTGCTCCTACCAAACTCACCCCCTTCAAGACCCAACATTCCAACCACTCTTATCCATGACCTCACTTCAACTTCCTCTCCCCACCCACGACGGCGCATATCCCTCGGCAAATCCTCCGATCCCAACCGCGGCAAGCCATGGTCTTCTCCTCACCTTTCCCCGCAAGGTCACCAAATTCTTCATTTCTTAACTCATTCCCATTCCGATTCCATTAACATCGATCATATTCTGCGTCCCCTTTGCGACCACCCACACCCTGCTTATCTGTCTTCCGATATTTTGGGCATAATCAAGGCTTTAGGGTTTAACAACAAAGGTGACCTTGCCTTGGCCGTCTTCCGTTGGGTTCGTAGAAGAGATGATTGCGTTCCCCTTTTGAGCGGTTCTGCAATACCCGTCATCATCAAAATTATGGGCAAAGCGGGTCGGGTCTCGTCTTTGCCCTCCTTGCTTCTCGCCCTTCAAAACGATGGCTTTCAGATTGATGTCTATGCCTACACTTCCTTCATAAATGCTTATGCCAGTAATGGCAGGTACAGGGACTCCGTCAATCTCTTCAACAAAATGCAGCAAGATGGTTGCGCCCCCACTCTCATTACTTACAATGTCATTTTGAATGTTTATGGCAAAATGGGCATGCCTTGGTCTAAAGTCACAGCTCTTGTTGATGCTATGAAATCACGTGGGGTTGCCCCTGATTTGTACACTTACAACACCCTTATAAGTTGCTGTCGTCGAGGTGCCCTTTATGTAGAAGCTGTCAATCTGTTTCAACAGATGAAGTTGGCTGGGTTTACACCTGACAAGGTTACCTATAATGCCTTGTTGGATGTTTTTGGCAAGTCAAGACGGCCCCAAGAGGCTATGCGGGTTCTCAAAGAGATGGAGACAAATGGCTTTTCTCCTACTAATGTTACTTACAATTCATTGATATCGGCTTATGTTAGAGGTGGTTTGTTGGAGGAAGCCTTGGAGCTTAAAACACAAATGGTGGAGAAAGGGATTCAGCCGGACGTGTTTACCTACACTACCCTTCTGTCTGGATTTGAGAAGGCCGGGAAAGATGAGCTTGCCATTAAAATTTTTGAAGAAATGAGAGCGGCAGGATGCAAGCCTAATATTTGCACCTTCAATGCTCTTATTAAGATGCATGGTAACCGAGGAAAGTTTGCAAATATGATGCAAGTTTTTGAGGAGATCAAGGTGTGCAACTGTTCTCCTGATATTGTTACTTGGAACACCCTTTTGGCTGTGTTCGGCCAAAATGGAATGGACTCCGAAGTGTCTGGAATATTTAAAGAAATGAAGAGAGCAGGTTTTGTGCCAGAGAGGGACACCTTCAACACTCTAATAAGTGCATACAGCAGGTGTGGTTCCTTCGATCAGGCTATGGCTGTTTATAAGAGCGTGCTGGAAGCTGGAGTGGCCCCCGATCTTTCTACCTATAATGCTGTTTTGGCAGCGTTGGCTCGTGGAGGGCTTTGGGAACAAGCTGAGAAGGTCCTTGCTGAAATGAAGGATGGTCAGTGTAAACCTAATGAGCTAACATATGCTTCTTTGCTTCATGCTTATGCCAATGGTAAAGAGATTGAAAGGATGAATGCTTTTGCTGAGGAAATATATTCTGGCTCTATTGAAACACATGCTGTTCTTTTGAAGACCCTTGTTCTAGTAAATAGCAAGAATGATCTCCTAATCGAAACGGAACGCGCCTTTCTGGAATTAAGGAGAAGAGGAATTTCTCCTGACATTACCACGTTGAATTCAATGCTTTCAATATATGGGAGGAAGCAGATGGTGGCCAAGTCCAATGAGATCTTGAACTTCATGTATGAAAATGGATTTACTCCAAGTTTGACAACTTATAATAGCCTAATGTATATGTACAGCCGTTCTGAAAACTTTCAGAAGTCTGAAGAAATCTTGAGGGATGTTCTGGAGAGAGGTATGAAACCTGATAGAATTTCATACAATACTGTTATTTATGCATATTGCAGAAATGGTAGAATGAAGGAGGCTTCACGGATATTTTCTGAAATGAAAGATGCCGCACTTGTTCCTGATGTTGTAACTTACAACACATTTATCGCAACTTATGCTTCTGACTCAATGTTTGTTGAGGCTATTGATGTAGTTCGATACATGATCAAGCAGGGATGCAAGCCAGACCAGAATACTTATAACTCCATCGTTGATTGGTACTGTAAGCTCAACCAGCAAGATGAGGCAAACAGGTTTGTTAAAAACCTTAGTAATCTTGACCCACATGTTTCCAAGGAGGAAGATCGCCGGTTACTAGAGAGAATAGCACAGATGTGGCCATAATTTGTTTCATGACTCTTTGGATGCATTACTGGAATTTGGAATATTTCTCGGCCTCTAGTTCATTGATGCCCTTAGTCTCCTTCCTTCCTGGTTGCCATTTTATATAAATATTTGGGGTATGGAGGTTGGCGTTCACCCCTTGTAGTTATAAATCAATGTATTTTTCAGTGGGGTTTATTTGCAGAATAAGGCAGCAATGTGTGTCTCCTCATTGATGCTTGCTGGTGCGGTTGTACAGAAACATTGGGAAATAAAAGAATAGAAAGTGAAGGGACTGGTTGGCTTTGAATAAAATACCATGTGGAATAAACTAAGTAGCAGTGCTGTCTGGAAAGAAAAAAAAATAAAAAGTGCAGGGAAGCCTTTTGATATAGTTTCACTCTGTAATAGAATTTACTGTTTGATTTCCAATTTAGTCTATTTGTAACAAAATATGTAAGTTTTTATGTTTTTGTTTGTATTAAAGATTATTCCTGCTGGTGGGAGTGCTGTTTGTATGAAGGGCAAAGCTTACCGTTTAAAACATGAATGACATGTAGTATTAAGCTCTGGGTTTGTGGCTAGTAGTCATGTTTTACTCCCTTGGAATTCGGAGAATTTCTCACTAAAACATTGTCTTTTTCACAACCCCTAAATTTGGAGAGAAATAAATATGATTATATGATATTAATTATTTGGATAAACTTCTATTTTAGTCATTAAAATATTTAAGGGACTAAAGTTAGTTTCTAAAATTTTAAATTTGGATAAGCCTCCATTTTAGAGGGTAATTTGCCTAATTAGGATAATGTTTTAAATTTTTTTTAAATTAGGGTATTTGTAAAATATTACCATCACGTAATATTACTATAATACAAGTAAATGTTGATATTTTAAATTTTTTTAATATAAGAATTATTCTAATATATACTGACACTTTTCTACAACTAAAACGTGACAGTATCATTTAAGTTAGTGTCGGCACTTTTAATTTTTTTTAATATAAGAATTGTTTCAATATAAAATTATAAATTAGCACTCATTTTTTTAAAGTTAAAGTATCATTCACATAAAGATTGACACTGTAGGAAAGTATATGTGTTAATAGTATAGTCCAATCTGGTGATGACACTAATAGGAAGTTAACACATGTTAATCATTGAATGAGTGTCCACCAAACTTGAGATGACTTTTGTATGTCTTAGTTTCAATTTTTGTTGTTTCCAATTTTACTTGTTGCTGAACATAATCTATTTCACTTTTTTTACCCATTGAACCATTCATAAATGCACTCTTTTATCCAATTTAATTGTGCCTACATAAAGAGCAAGTTTTTCAAACTAGGAGTAGATAAACAAGTTTTACTCCATTTTAAAATAATGTTAGTTTCCCTACTCTAGTAATTGTATTTTATTTTTATTTGATAAATTTTTTTTTGTAAACGTTTATTATTATTATAATATTTTTTTGGAAATAAAATAATTTAATTGTAACTAGATTATTTTGTGTTAATAGAAATAATTATCAACAACTCATAGAAATAGTTATCATTTAAGTTATGATTGTATTATTATAAGGAAAATATGTGTTATTTTATATGTTATATTTTTTAATAATTGATATTTCTTTGATATTTGTAGGTAGAAAATTTGATGTGTGAATAAAAAAAGAAATTTAAAATAATTTTTTTAATAATAACTAAAAAATAAGTAATGATTGAAAATAGTATAACAATATTTTTAATATTTTTATTATTTTATTAGTAGTTATTTAAATATTGAATTAGAACTATAATGTGTCAAATGAGTATTTAGGTGTGTCAAATTAGAACTATTTAGGTGCTATGGCCTGTCCTGAAGCTTGTTAACAAAGCCTGCTACAAAAATATATCTTAATATTAATAAAAATATAAATATTTTATTATTAAATTAGTTTATATATTTTTCTAATTTTTATCTGCTTTATTGATAATTATTAAATAATTATAATAATTTTTATAAATAATTTTTAAAATTTTATTTGAGCATTAACTATAAATATTTTCATATTATAAAAATTTTATATTTTTATTTTTCTTAATTTATTTTTGTAAAATTATTAAAGTATTAAGATTTTAATCATTTTTTATGATAATTATATTTTATTTGTGTAAGGACATCTTATATTCAATAAATAAAATTACATAAACACATAAAATTAATAACAAAAAATAACACTCACAAAATTTATTGAATCAATTAAAAAAAATTATTAAATTTAAAAAAGTAAGTAAATATTGTCATTGTAAAAATTGTAGATAAAAAATATTTATATTATAAAATTCATAGATACAAAAAAAATATATATGAACATAGTAAGAATTATAAAATTTATATTTAAATTAAAATAATTTATATTTCCAGACTTTTACTTAATAAAAAAATATATGATAAAACTTCATATAAAAATTTAAACTCAATGCACTATATATAAAATAACAATAATAATAACTATTAAATTAAAAAAATAATTACAAAATATTTAATTTTATTTGTTTTATTAATTTTTTATTTTAAATTAATAAATATGTGTAAAATTAACTACACTATAACATTAATATAATATAAAAAATATTAATGATACAATACATTATAACATATATTTATATATTATATATAAATTGATAAATTAATTAATAATTTAATTTTTATTTATACTTTTTTTATGTAAATATTTATTGATTATTGAATTTCAAAGGTATATTAACAATTATATTTTTAAGAAAAAAATTTATCTACATCTACGTCAAATTCATTAAAAATAATTATTTAAAATTTTACTTATTTATATTTAGGTGTGTGGCTATGTGTTGTGGGTCTAGTATATAATTTTTTTTTTTATAGGTACCTCACTCAAAAAATTTATACCAATAAAAATAAAACATGTAGCAAGTTACAAAAAATATATATTATTACTTATAATTTATTTAAAATTATATTATTTATATTATTTACTATATGGTCCTATTATATATATATATATATTGTATATTAAATTTTTTATTTTATTTTTCTATCATTTTTTTTACAAAATTTTAATTTTGAATAAAATATAATTCATATTTAAGTAATTTCTATTTATTATAAATAAAAGAATTAAACATAATATATTAATATAATAATTAAATGTTAATAATAATAAAATTAAGAATATAAAAATATATTAATATAATATTATTTTATTTTTAAATTTTATTTCATTTAGTTTTGATTGCGTCTTGTTCCTATTCAAAGACTTAACCACTCTTTAACTTTTTTAAATGTAACAAATATGATAATTTACTATTAAATAAATTTATTATTTAAAAAGTGTAATTGTGTAGAAATATTTTTAATTTTAAATAGAATATAATTTCTATTTATTATAATTATAAATAAAAAAAATTATAACATTATATATTAATTTTATAATAATAGAATTAAGAATGTAAAAAATATATTATTAAATAAATTTTTTATTTGAATATATTTTGACAGCTTTATTTTTAAATTATATATATACAAGTTGGCCTATTAGGCTTAATAAGCTTTGTAATCAGCTCAAGAAAAAAAACCTAAACTTTGTTTGTTGATTAAAAAGGTTAGGCCATAGGCCCCTGTCAGACGGCTTGACCTGTTTCCATTCCTAATTATTGTAATATAGATGATGTGCTTACTTTTTGGAATATAAGTACATTATGTAACACCTTTTTTTCTTAATTGTTTTCTTTGTTACTGTTAACTATTAGATTTTATCTTAAATTAGAAGTGTATGAATGTTGGTAATTGCAGAGGGTCTCAGTCGAGCGAGATTGAGTTTTCTAGACCAGACATTCCAGAGTGATCTTGCTTAAGCGAGTTGAGTGTCACCTAGGAAAGATAGGTCTCACTCAAGCGAGAAGGCACATGGTGAATGAGGAGCTCTATGGATCCATTTTGGCTTAGCGAGAATACCCCTCGCTCAAGTAAAAATATTAGATAAAGCTTGAAAAACCATTATCTGATATTTTTGCTCAGGTGAGATGGGTCTTGCCCAATGAAAATGTATCTCATTCAAGTGAGAGATCGCTCGCTCAAGCCAGAATTCGCCAGTTTTGAGGGATATTTAAGAAATTTTCATTCTAAAACACTCCCAATTCAGTCGTATTTATGAGTCAATACAAATATATTAGAAATAATATATTTTTCTTTATAAATTTTTAACTTTAACATTCAAATCAACACATTAATAAAGCCTCAAAATATTTTACATATCATATAGATAGCATAAGAGTATGTATATAATTACAACAGTGGCTCCAAATGGAGCTCATAATACACAATCTCTGCATAATAGTTACATCAGAACCTTAGATTTGTAACCAAATGGCTTAGGTTTGCACAAAAATCTAAACTACTAAAACTAAGTTACATATATTAAAATCTTCGAGCCGGACTACTCTTTAGCCAAACTTCCCAGCAGGTAAATTAGACACTCCACCTGTCAATTCTGCTCAGTATCATCGTACGATTATTGCAACACACACACAATAACACAAACAACGCATGGGTGAGCTTATATAAATAAAATCATAATTAGAGAGTATGAATATATTAAAACCATTTGGACAACACTTATGGTTTATAGTAGTTAACACAACAAATCTTAATTAATTAATGCAGCATGTCCAACCCATCTAATGCAAATGTAGCGATTCAGTTTCCATCTGGTTTCACAGCCTAAGTAATCCAGAGGAACTGTTCCGGTCTAGGAGCGACCCATCCCGGTATCTGGATCCAGACAAGTACAACTTAATGTTCTATGCAGCTTTAGAATGATGAAAATGAATGTGATGCAGCATGGTTAAATCAATATAATACAATAGAGTTAAATCTAATCTCATTTTTAGCAATAAAACAATGCATACATTTTCATCTAGCATTGATAGCACAACCATATATATATATATATATTCTCATAGCAAAACCAAGCATTTTGCAGTATTAATTAAGCATTTCAATACATACTATACAATGAAACTAAACAACTCAAAACGTGACTTAAATTCTTTCGTGTATATTAAAATCCTTGGCATATATAACAAAACATTGCAACACTTCATATTCCACCACAGCATTCCAAACAATTATCATACAGTAGAGAATACACTCAACCATACATACTTTGGGTTTTACTCTAAAGCTTGTTCATACAACAACTCATTGTCAACTTAAACGAGATTATCTATCACTTGAACCAAATAAGCTTAAATAAGCTCCCCTTACCTATAATGAGTTCCAAGATCTTGCTCCTAATGAGCCCCAAAGAGATAAATCAAGCGTTTGAGTACAAAAGATGGCTCGAGTGGTTCAAATATACTCAAACAACATGGTATGAGTTTCTTGAGAAAGAGAGAGCAATAAACAAGAATAAAGACCAGAACTGAGTTCTAAAAACTCACCTAGATCTTGATGCGATAGACTATCTCACTTTGATCAGGAAGAAATTCAGCTTCAAGAAGATTTTCTCTAAGAATAGGAAGTGAGAGAACAAAGAGAAAATGAGAGAGGAAAGCTGTCTAGTGAGAAATGAAGCTTCTGGGTGCTGAGGCCCCCTTAAATACTCTTCCAACCCACGTACTCTTGCTTAAGCAAGCCAATCCTCGCTTGAGTGAGATATGCTCTTGCATAGGC